TACCAGGATGCGGGTTGATAAAGCTGGATCATTCAAGACACCCTCATTGACTCAGGGATGGAGGTGCTTAAGGGGAAGCATCTATGCAGGAAGGTGGGCAGGCTGTGTTTGCTAGTGGGATGGTCAGCAGTTCTGTGGTGTTATTCTGTAATTACAAGGGCTAAAAAAAACAAACCCTATTTAAAAAAACTGACCAGGTCTGTTATTCTCTGCTGCCTATCACGTTGTACAGCCATTTTCACGTAATCACTTGACTGCAAGAGCTGGGGCTGTAAGAATAGCAAACAGCATGACACACACAATAAAATCCAAAGTGTTGACAACACTGAAAATTGTACATATTTTGGCTGTTTCCTTTATCTCACCTTTCCTATGTTTCCTAACTTGTGGGACAGAGGCTTAGGATAGACAAGAAGGGGGAAAGAGAACTTTGCCTTGTTGTCATCACCCTAACAAGTTTGCTTGTGTACTTTATCCCATAACCCCCTCCCTTCATCTGTGTATTTTTTGGTGGGGGGGTTCTCCTTTTAGCTTGTAAGCAGTTGGGGCAGAGACTCTTGTTATATGTTTAATTGGGACAACCCTTAGAAAAAAGGGTATCATGATGCTAATCGAGTCTGTTGGTCACCACCCACTAGCATATTTTAAACAATAAATAAGAGTTTTTAAAATCAGATTTAAATTTTTCCTTCTTTATTGTTTCTCTGTTGAATTGTTGTGTGCTGTTAAATTGCTGCTATGTTCCACCCCAGAGATGGTTGTATGTCAGTGGTGAATTACTGATTCTGCTATATATATTTTATATTGGGGTTTGAGAATCCTATGGGATGAAAGACACTATAGAAAAAAAGGTCACTTTGGAGTTCTGCATACTATCTCTGTACATCCATGGTGGAAATCAGATGACATGCCTAGAATTGTCAAGTTGTTACAAAAATTAATTGTGATTAATTGCATGATTAATCACACTGTTAAGTAACAGAATACCATCTATTTAAATATTTTGGATGTTTTCTACATTTTTCAAATATATTGATTTGGGTTATAACAGAATACAAAGTATAAAATGTTCACTTTACTTTTATTACAAATACTTGCGGTGTAAAAAACACTGTACTGTAGTGCAACCTCTTTGTCATGAAAACTGAACTTACAAATGTACAATTATGTACAAAAAATCACTGTATTCAAAAATAGACCAATGTTAAACTTTAGAGCCTAAAAGTCCACTCAGTCCTATTTCTTGTTCAGCCAATCACTAAGACACACAAGTTGTTTACATTTGCAGAAGATAATGCTTCCTTGTTATTATTTATAATGTCACCTAAAAGTGAGAATAGGCATTGATATTGCACCGTTGTAGCTGATGTCATAAGATATTTATGTACCAGATGTGCTAAAGATTCATATGGCTCTTCGTGCTTCAATCATCATTTTAGAGAACATCTGTCCTTACTCAATAATGAGCAAAATCAGTGTGGACTGAAATGTTAATTTTTATCATCTGAGTCAGATGTCACTAGCAGATGGTTGGCTTTCTTTTTTGATGATTCGGGTTCTGTGGTTTCTGCATCAGAGTGTTGCTCTTTTAATTCTTCTGAAAGCATGTTCTACACTTTGTCCCATTCAGATTTTGGAAAGCACTTCAGATTCTTAAATCTTGGGTCAAATGTGGTATCTCACATTGGTACATACCATCTTTCCATTGTGTCAAATCTGCAGGGGAAATGTTCTCAAAACAAACAGGTGCTGAGTGATCAACCGAGACTGCTATAACATAATATATATGACAAAATGCAGGTAAAACAGAGCAGAAGAAATAATACACCCCCAAGGAGTTCATCCACAAATTTAGTTAATGAATTTTTTTAAAACAAGTGTCAGCAGCATGGAAGCATGTCCTCTAGAATGATGGCTGAAACATGAAGGGGCATATGAATGTTTAGTATACTGAGCATTTAAACACTAGGGATGTCAACGTGTACTTAACTACACAATTAACCAATAAGCCTCGGCAGCAAGGGAGGGGGGAGCAGGAGGTGGGGCCCATGAGGACCCGGCTTTTAAGCAACTCCCCACAAGCACCGGAACCCGTGGAGCTGCCTGCCCCCCAAACTCCGCACTGCTACCTCTGATAGAGAGGCAGCAGTGCAGAAGAGAAGGAGGTAGGCAGGAGCCAATACGCCTGTCCCCCCTTGCTGCCTCTCGCAGAGGGAGTGGGAAGCAGCTGGCTTAAAAGATGCAGCAGCATGGAGGGGAGCAGGGAAAGGAGTCATGGGCAGCCTCTGACTATAGCAGGCCCAGAATCACTGTGGACAGAGGCTGCTCTGTGGGATGCTGGCTCAGTCTCTGTCTGCAGGGAGCTCGGTTCCCCCCACAGACAGGGGCTGCTGCTGCCTCTGTATCGGAGGCAGCAGCACGGGGCGGGAGAGGGTTCCCTGGGAGTGGGGCTAGGAGCATACTGGCTGCTGGCCCCACCTCCAAGGACTACCAAATGATCATGTAACTACTAAGGTTTGATGTAGTTACACAATTATAAGATTAATCAATAGCTAACATCCCTAATAAATACTAGGGATGTTAATGGGTAATCCGTTAAATGGTTACCCAATAAGCAACACCCTTAACCAAAACCAAAACTTTCCCTTTACTTAAGGAGTTAATACATATTTAAAATATTATTTATCAAGGCTGGGATTTTTCTACAGTGCCTAAAAGAGTTAATCAATAAGAGTGTTTAACACTGAAAATGTTCTCCTTTGAAAATCTCAATCTAATATTTTTCTAAAAGCCTTTGGGGACACCGGCTTCATGTATAGAATTAAAGGGCTAGACTCATCACTGGTATGCTCTAGCTCCTTCACATTGTTCTGATGACCCCAAATAGCCATAAATCCATTAATTGCCAATGTAAAAGTATTTAGATCTATTTTGTGTGGCTAATACAATACAAAAACTTTTGGTGGTCTTGGCTAAAAAGTAAGGATCACTTTTGAGGGCAAAGGGAAGTCTCCATGATCTTAAACCATTTAACTCCAAATACTAATGTATACCTGTAGGCTGTGTCTACATTGGCATCCCTTTCCGGAAAAGGGATGCTAATGAGACACTTCGGAATTGCAAAAACTTGAAAGTAGGAATAAGAAATCCTCCGGAAAAGGGCTTATTTTCCGGAGAATCGCGTCTAGACTGGCGCTTTTCTCTGGCTTATCCCCAAGCCGGAAAAAAGCGGCAGCCATGTAAATGCAAATGACGCGGGGGATATTTAAATCCCCCGCGGATTTGCAATTCCGACTCGTCACATTAGTATCCCTTTTCTGGAAAGGGATGCCAATGTAGACGTAGCCGTACTGTGTCTTTTGAAGGACGATGATGAAAATAATGGATCATTCAGAAATATATGTAACAGTTTACTTTTCCTAGCGTTACAGGTTCTTCTTTTTTTCTCCACAGTTACCCTGGAGTAGGCCTCTCTTAGCCGAAAATTTCCAACTTCTTTTGTGGGGGATATGGGAAATCTGTGTAAAATTCCTCTTGTCCTGCCCCAAAGGTAAGTAGAGGACACCAGAAAAATTGTAAATAATTCCCAGCATCCCTCTTAACTCCAGCATTCTATTGAGCCATTATTACCTCACCATTAAGAAGGCACTGCTGGATAGTAATTGAAATCTTCGCCATAGTGGCAGCTGCTTACCTCTGACCCAAACTATAACCACCCTGAAGAAACACAGGAATACCATTTGCTGAAGTGGAGATTGAAATCAAGGTACACTATCAAAACTTGGCAAGACCTCTACTATTGGGAGACTTCTCAATATATTAGGCCAAATTTTGGAACAACACTGATTTTCATCAGCTGAGGATCTATCCTGCCCTATGCAGAAAGGCCCTCTTTACAGCTATGCTACTTTGGTGTCAGTTTTTTTCTCTTCATACTGATTTTTTATTGCAAGATTAGTCATTTGGATTGACCATTGGTGCTGTCAGCCTACTGATATGAGCTGCTGTTGCATTATTCTGAATTGCCAGCAAGCCCAGTAAGGGGGGAGGTAGTCTCAGCAAAATGCACACACCTAAAAACCTGGAAGAAAATGTTCAGGTTTATCTTTTTCTGCATGTCCTGTATATGTGGATGAGCTCTTGGCTCAGGCAGTTTCATGGCAAAGGTTTGTTGGAGCCCCCTGGAAATATAGCATTTAATAACCATGTAGTAGGTAAAAAATTGCTGGATTCTAAGTGGATTTGCACAGTGAAATTCCATTATAGTAGAGTGAATTGAAGCTGGTGTAGAATTCAGCAGTTTGTTTGTTACAGAGTTCATCTTTTTGGTGCACATGGTACCAGGGCTTTTGAATCTCCAATGGCTAGCTGTTAGTTAATGCTAGAACTTAAGGTGTTGATTGACCTACTTCTCAGACTGTCTGTGTGTATGGGGTGGCACCTGAGGTCACACAAGAGAATGGGGGAGTTAACAGAGTGTTCTCTATAATGGCCTTTTTGGAATGTGCACTTCACTGGCCAAGTTTGATTGACTCATATTTTATAGGGAGACAGAGTAGAAAGTGAAAGACACATCTGATGTGCTTACAGCAGCCTGTGTTGCTGAGAAAATGTACTGCTAGTACAAATGTACTGGGAATAAGCTTATTTCAAAATAGTTATTTTGGGAGTTATTATTGTAGACATGCCCTCTGTGATTTACCTCAGTTTCAGCAGTGCAAGCCCCATTTTACATTGGGGCAGCTCACCAATACTGTGTTTGCACTTGGGGAACTAATGCTTCTACAAAAATCCCTATTATAGAGAAATCTGTAATGTACTGTGCTAGGCAAATTCTGGACTGAGTGAATTCATATCACTCACACTCTGCCCTGATTTAGTCAAGCAATGTAATTGGTCTAAGTGTCCTCTGTGCACACAGGCCATACAGTGGATTATGATGCCAGCAGCAATGGACTAAGCTTCCCTAGCCCAACTCTGCCTTCCTATTGTGACATGATTTGCTGCCTCACCTGTAGGCACTGACATATCATCATTGCTAAAGGAAATTTAAGAGGGGATACTTTCTATTGAAAAATCTACTTGAACTTCCTAGTCATGGGTTCCTAGTATAGGAGACTTTGAGAGAGCTCTTCAGAACAAGCTAGAGCATTTGTGTCTTGTTCTTTCTTTGGTAGATTCCTCTATATAAGAAATGGGCCTATTTCAGTAAAACAGGGCAAGAATTCCTAGGAGTCCACTTAGGGAGAGTACACAGTAGTTAAAAAAGGAGGATTGGGACATCTTGATTCTCTTCATTGCCTTGCCACTGACTTATTACGTAACCTTAGAAAAGTCATTTTACTTTTGTGCAAGGACCTGAGTTTCGGGGGTTATGAAGTTAAATTCGCTACAAGCCTGGAATAGCCCTTATGAGTTTTATACAACTCACTTAATGTAGAGTAGTACTAGACCAACCCAGCATCTGGGAGGCACATGAACAGGGGATATTAAGATAGTGCAAGTCATTTTGCCCCTTTTCCTCTTGACTTGTGCTGAGCACAGACTCAAGGCTCTAACTCACCCATTATTTGCAAGATACATTGGTATGCTCTCATGAAAGGGTAAATAGTTGTTGCTATTTTCATTACCCTAACAATGGTAAACAGTATTTTGATCAATCCTACCATTAGATTAAAATTCTTCACTTAATTATCAGCAAGAAGACAATCTAAAATATAGCATAGTGAATGTAATCTGATTGGTTTCACCTGTATTTGTGCAAATTTCATATATAAACTATCTATATTTATTTGTAGAACTATGCTATGGGAGACTTGATGATGAAGAGGAAAAAAGCAAGAAGCCAATAAAGTAGGTCATGTAAGAGAAACAGGTGTGTTTTGGCAAGATGATACTTTGTAAAAATAGTTCATTTTTTCTCACCTATATGCCCTAGTTCCATAAGTCTGATTAGCTCCCCGAGAATCCCTTCTCCATTGCCAAATCCCTGGAGTGCCTTTGGAAGTTCATGTGCACATTTGTGTGGGGTTTTGCTCTTGCATAACCTGATGCAGTCTATAATAGGACATGAAACAAATACAGGCTTTTCTATCTTCAGTTATTTCCCCATCAGTTGATTATCTGTATTGTTCTGCCCTCTTGACTTACTAATTTTTTTCTGTTTTGTGTGTAGGCAATATTAGAAGCTACTTCTCTTTTAGGAGCTTCACTGCGTGTGCAGCCTCCAGAAACCAGATCTCCATTATGGGAGATCTTCAGAGAGTTCTTGGCAAAGGAGAATATGCCCCCTTCACATCCGCTCCCATATTTGAGAGCAACTTTGTCCAGGTAAACAGCGTTTAAATGAAATTGTTTGGCACTGATGATTTGACATTCCCTGAATAGAGAATTTCCACTTTTATCCCCTAGTATAATTGCTGTCCACTTCTTTGTTCATTTCCATAATTCTCATTCTCTGCCGTACTTCAACACGTTTATATTCCCCTTCTCATACACACCTATCCTATTCTCCCATCACATATAATGGGCCAGATACCCAGCCTCTGGTAGGACTGCATGCAGCTCATCTGGCGGAGGAAAGCAAAAGTGAATTTGTGTGCCTTTTTCTCTCTTCCACATCCTTATTCTGGGAATAGCTGTGAGTTGGTTCACTCCTTGTGCAATTTAGAGCAGTCTTAAGGTTGCACCCAATTGCAACAGCCCCCAAATGGACATTCTAGCAAATCTTGGCTTGCGTGTTTGATAGCTTCTCATAACTATCTAACCATCAGATGATCCTCTTCCAATTGCTATGGCCTACATCATCATCCTACCTATGACTCAGATCCAGAGTCTGAGAGCCATCTTTGACTCTGCCCCCTTTCTCTAGGTTCAAACTTCGAAGCTGTCTAAATCTTGCCAATTCTTTCTCCATAAGACCCCTAAGATATAGGCTTTTTAGATACTGCTAAAACTTCTATCCAGGCACTCATTATCTCACATCTTAGTAACTACAACAACCATTTCTTTGGCCTCAACAAAGGAATCTTGCTCTGCTCACATTCATTCAGAATGCTGTTGCAAAGACCATTTTCCTAACCCATCTTTATAACCAAGTCACCAATCTCTTTGCATCTCTCCACTTCTTTCCCTTTCCCATGTTGAAAATAAGATGCTTGTCTTCACAATCTTTCTAGCATGGCTTATTTGCTATCGAGATGTTGACTTCTGCCCCCAATCAGCTGATTATGTCAGCCTCTATCACCCTCTTGTCAAACTAATATCTTAGTTTTTTTCTCTTACACTGCCCACTCATCTTTCGAGATGCTCCCCATAAACATCAAGAAAGCTACCTAATCATTTTTCATCCAAACTCTCCTTAAAACTCTCCTTTGCTGTAATGCCTACAAAATACTTGACAACCGTCAGGCTGTTGGGATGCTGAAACCATTGCCTATCATGCTAGCCAATTGTGTAATATATTCCTTTCGCTACCCTGTTGGCCTGTCTCTCTATTTTTTGTCTCTTGTCTTTATACTTAGATTGTTAATTTTTTGGGGGCAGGGACTGCCTTTTTGGTAAGTTTGTACAACATCTAGAATACTGAAGTCTTGGTGCATGACTGGAGCACTTAGATGCAACAGTAATACAAATCAATAAATAATAAACAATATTATTGATGGTAATGGATCACCAAAACATTGCAACTCTCTTGCCATGCCCCCTCCACAAGTACCCATGAGAAGTGGTAATGCAGAATTGATTCTGTGCTACCCAAGGCATTCCAATACCACAATTATGGCCACAACATAAAAATTAAATACCTGGATAAATCTCCAGCTAGCTGATTATTCCAGCTTTCCAACCCCACTTCATTCTGACTCACTTCCTTTTCCTCCCATTCTTCATACACATTCCCCTCTCATTCTTTTATGTTCCTGTATTTTCTTACCACCTGAGTTATGAAAGTCCCAGGCAAGTGATACGACAATATCTGTGTAGTGTATTATTATAGTGATGGCTCCATGATATACTGCAATTACTTTGTTTTGGTATGCAGGTTAACAGGAGAGGTGAACCAATTTACGTTCATAACCGTCCCAACTGTGTGACTGTAGGCATCTGTGCATCCAGTCCTAGCCTGTCACTGCCCAATGTGATGCTGCTAGCACACACAGTGACTAAATCTCCCCAGGAAGTAACATCAAAGCCCTGGAAGGTCTCAAAGCAGCCGCCAACCATGGAGCAGCTGGAACTCAGTAGGTAAGTTAGGGTGAAGGTCAGTTCACAGAGCATGCTTTCCATAAACGTTTTTTGTGAGGCTTGGTGATGTCTTGGACAAAGGTAACCTTGTAACCAGGTGTATCCTCACTAGTGTCCATTTAGTAATGTTGTTCTTTGGATGAAACATTAACTAAAGGTACTATGAGTTTAATTAAGGGATAATGTAACTTTAATATTAGGAAAACTGACTGAAACAATAATGAAAAATAAAATGACTGAACACATTCGTAAACAAAAATCATGCTTCTCTAACCAGTTCAAATTCTTTCAGAATGTTAGCAAACTAGTGGATAAATAAAAAGTGGCTGATCTAATATTTTTGGACTTCAAAAGCTGGAATAAATTAGCCAATTTTCAACATGACTAAAGGCTAACATTGGGATGGTTTACATACTAGTGTTGTTTAATATATGTATTAATTATCTGTAAAAGAAAGTGAACAATAAAGTGGCAAAATTTGCAGATGACACAAAATAGTTTGGGTTAGTTAAAACCAGAAGAGACTGTGAGGAGACTTGAATGTTACGGGTGCTGTGAGCTATTGCAGAGCATCTCTTACACAAAGGGCATAGTAGCATCTGAAAATAAAGTCTCCGGGTATACTCTCTATTATTTTTCCAACAGACTTCTCCCCTGCAGTTGGGATGTGGCCCCAGAGATGACAGACACAATGTCTTCTCTGAGAAGAGTCTGCATGCACTTGCCTTCAGACTTACTCCTCCTGCAGCCCATTTCCTGAAACATGCAATGGATATAGTGCTTTCTGTAAGCAGAGACTCTAGCTGGTCTCTCATATGAGTTTTCTTGTAGGTTCTTCCCCTTGAAGTTCGTGGAGATCTCCGTTCACAATGCTGAGAAGCGTCGCCTCAAGCTGAAGCTGGCAAGTGGCCGCTCCTTCTACCTGGAGCTCTGTGGACCACCAGATGAGCAACATCTCCTCTTCCGTCAATGGTTGAGGCTCATCTCTCTCTTGAAACTTCCCCAAGACCGCTACAACAATACTCAAGTCAATATAGTGTATGAAAATTTTAATGGGAAGAAAGCTGAGGGAACGCAAGTCATGAGGAACCAATCAGACAACGTGAGTGTCTGGCAGTTGTTGGGAACATTTGCGTTAGCAAATTCTGCAAACTGAACAATCAAAAAAAATTAAAATGCTTGTCCCAACATCGCTAATTATTGCATAAGTCAGAGCTTGTGCAACAGACAAGAATTCAAAGTAGTTACAATTCTGTTTACAAGGAGTTGATATAAAAATAATTGGCATGTCAGAAGTTCCCTATAGAATCAGAAGGTGGTGGCAGCCATATGGCAACCTCTAGTGGAGCCCTGCTTGGTTATCTGGATGTCAATTAGAGGGATACCTGACACCACTGTCCTGGATTTCATTTTCCTGATATTTTGGGGAATGGGTTGCTATGGCCTTAAGTGGCACTTCCCTTTTGAATTTCCCCTCTGATGTGGGGGCAAAGAGCAGAGAAGAAGATATATGACATAGCTGAGTTCTTCAGGACCTATGGAGGCTGATGGGTGAAGTGCATCAGACATTTGGCCTGTAGGGAGGGAGGTGGATGTTCTAGCTCTTGGTTGACCTTTCTAACTCTCCACCATACTTCATAGGTATCTATTTGCTCCAACTGAGAGAAAGAGAGGAAGGAGGAGTGGAGAGGGATGTAAGGCTCCTTTTAGAGGAATTGAAAACAAAATATTAATACTCCAGGCTTTCATCAGCAAAAAAGGTGGAAGCATTACCCTGGGTCCATACTTAGCAACAAGACCAGCAGGATAGCTACTGATTCTGAACACACTTTTTAAAGTTGTTACCCAAAGCTCCATGCAAGCCACAGAGACTTTCAGCATAGGCAACTCCACGTGTCTCTTTTTTGCCCCACGCAGGCCAGCCCCTGTTTCAGTCTGGCCAAAAGAAGATGAGAGACACTTGCACACATGGTCAGAGCTAAGTGCTACATGCCTGGTAGCGTGAGCCTCTTCCATTTTGAACCCTAGACACTCCTCTTCTTCCTGGGCAGAGATAGAAGAGGGAAAATAATTATCCCTACACCCTGAAGGAGAGGAATAGAACTCCAGCCTACCAGAGGGGAAAGGCATCTGAAGCAAAAAGATTAATGATTAGGGTAAGGAATGAGTGGAGATGATGAGACAAACCAATGTATGAGTAGGATTGTGCACCATCTTCTTCATCCAAAACCTCGCTAAAGGCTTTGCTTGCCTGATGCCCTTGACTTGGGGTTTTCTCAGACACCTGTGTAGAAATGGGTACCCCACTGACTTATTAATATTCAGGGAAGAACAATGAAAATGTACTTCTTGATACTTTTGCTTTCTTAGGCCACCGCTCTTGCCCTTCCTTTACAGGTTCCTTCATGATCATGCTTCTAAATTCTTATATGATTACAGGTATCTTAATATCCGCCTCCTCATTTTTAGCATATGTTTTGCTGCTTTGTCAGCCATCTCATTTCCACATATTCCAATATGCACTTTAAGTCATTCTACTGTTACACAGATACCTATTTGTGTATTTCCATAGATAGGAATATTATTTCACTTATTATGTAATTTCTACTTTCCAAAGTTCCTGTTCTGATTGTCATTATGCCTGATAAGGAAACAGATAAAATTACAGCTGCAGCTAGTCACACATCTCTGATCCAGGTTAGTGCCAACATTTCCCAGTTAGTTCAGCCATCACATCAGAGCCTTTTAGATTTCTGAATTCTGAGCCTAAGAATTTATGAATTTTGAGCCTAGGAACATAGAAAGCTCTTCCAACTCTACCTGAGCAGGAGTCAGGAGAGGGTCTTGATGATGTGGGGGGGGGGGGCTCAGGGCAGAAGGCCAGGATGTGGGAGTGCAGGAATCAGGGGTTGTGGAGGGGATTAGGGCAGAGGGCTGGGGATCTGTAGGAGGATGCAGGAATTAACACTGAGGTTTGGGAGGAAGGGAAGTTCGGGAGAGGGGGTGGCTGCCAGTTTCTTCCAGGTCAACCTGGGGCCAGCCACACACCACGCATACTCTCTTGGCCCAGGGAGGACGGCTGTGCATCCTGCCTGCTAATTTCTCTCTGGGGGCTGGACCAACCCAGGGAGGATTTGGGGAGGGAGCTACATAGACTGGCTCTGCGAATACTCCCCAGTCCTGTTCTGGAGGGGGGGGGGTGGAGAAGAGGGTTGCACAGGCCAGCCAGGGGGACGGGCACACTGGATGGGCCAGCAATGCTAGTGGGGTGGGCTGTGACTCCTCAAGGGGAAGGCTAGGACTACGCTACTTGGTCTCAGTAGTGCTCCTGGAGGGAGGGCTGGCTGGGCTCCTTCCTCCCTCCCCTCCCCCCCGCCTCCACTGTGGCCAAGGACTAGGGGGAGGGGTCTGGGCAAGGGTGCCACTTACCTGATCCAGTGTCTAGCAAGATGGCAAACCCTGGCCACAGCTGGCTACTGTCTTTCTTGTGTGGCTGCCCCCCTATAGTCATTCTGCAGTATAACTGTCCCCTATGCTTGCTGCCTCCAGTTATCACTCTGCAATAGAGCATCCCTCCAATCAGTCCCCTCCATTTCCATGTTATAGAAAGCCATCGAATTCCAGGCACATCCTGTTTTACAGGTACAACCAAACCTTGACTTTGCTTTAAGTCAGGACAAAAAGAAGCTGCATGCCAAATTTGTGGTCTTAGCTTTTACCGTTTAGGAGTTCTTGAACAAAAGGACTCGCAGAAAAACAGACAGTCTCAGACAGACACATACAAATCTCTAAAATATATAGAGATTCATTCGTTCAGAAATGTCATTGGTCACAATGTGTGTTTTTTCCCTCCATTTTTTTCCATACAATTCCAAATCCACACCTAGAAGTGTAACTGTTTAACTATAATTCGATTTTCCTTGTCTAAAAAAAATTATTTCTTTCAATTTCTCTTTTTTACATATCTTCTTTGCCCATTTGTCACCCTGATATTATGAGGAAGTCAGTGACAATTCATTTCAGCTCTTCTACTAAATTCCCAGCAATCCCCATACATCTGGTATGTACTACCATTTTCATGATTCCCTTTCACCTTTGCCCAAAAGGTTAGTTCTGGTTTAATCCCTTCTTTTATAAAAGCTTCTTCAGTCAGCCCCCTTCTGCTACACATTTCCTCTCTTTATAATAACTACCCTGCTCCTGCCCTTCTGGGCTTCATTATCCACTAAGCTGGCTCTCCCTCTGGGTGCAGCTAGATAACTAATCAGCGTCTCAGGCCCACATTAACCCATTCAGGACCTATGTGGGGTATATACATTATCACGGTGTCTTACCCTTTCTAATTTTATCTCTACATGCATATGCTATTCTTTTGTACTCCTTAGCAATTAGTCCATATTCCTACTTCTTGTAGGATTACTTTTTGAAGAGCTCCTGATGGAGCCATATTGGCCTCTTACTATTCTTCCTATACTGCCATTGCATCGGGATAGTTTGCAGTTGTAATTTTTATATCATCTTGAGAAGCAACCAGCCCCCTTAAATCTTAGCCATCAAACAGTACAAACGGGTCTCTGCTCCCACATCAGATCAAAAACAGAGGAAAACCCAGGGTAAGGATATGGATAGTATGAAGAAAGAAAAAAGAAAACTTACAGTTTAGATCATTAACCAGTTCTCAAAGGTTATTTTTGGTCATCACTGACTTCTGTGATCCCATGGAGTAGAACTCCTCACTCATACCCAGAAGTGGTTTCTGGGGTATAAAATTTATGACCTGGACTTTTGTGGATTTCCCGGCTTGTCTTCATGATACCAAAGTCAGTCTACACTATAGGGGTGTGTAGTAGGGAAGTTAAATTTTGATTACTCAGCTAATCCAGTAGTCAATGGAATTTCCATCGACTACTCAATTAGTCGATAAGGGGGGTGTTCACTATCCCGCTGCACCTCTCCCTTTGAAATGTACAGGTGGCTCTTGTACATTTCAAAGGGAGAGGAGCAGCAATCGGAACCGGCACAAGCGGGACTGTTTCAATCCCCACTCACGCCATTTCCCTGCTTCCCTCTGCCTCCCCTTCCCCCTGTGGAGATGATGCTGCTTAAAAGCTGGTTCCCTCCAGCACCAGCTCCTGCTCCCCCACCCCCACCCTTGCTGCATCTCTCTGATTTGCTTCTCAGGTAGTCAACTAGTCGCTTACAACCCTACCAATCATGAAGAATTTGCTAATGTGCATTAATGTACTCCTCTTTCAAATACGACTACATTACTGTGCACTAAGTAATATTTAATACACACCAGTACAATCCACAGAGGGGAGTTTGACCAACTGGTACTTTCTACAAATCACATTCCCATAGTCCAGGCTCTGACGAAACAATCCAGCAAAACCTTGTGCAAAAGTGTAGAACCAGTTGGTTGCATTTAAGAGGCATTGGAGCAGTCAGTGTGTGGTAATTACCCAGGTGAGAGAAAAATGCACTGAGGAATACTCAGAGGACCTGGCAAGTCAAAGAAAAGGAAGCTTCCAGGTGAAGCTAAACAATTGTCAACACGAAGTATCTTTATCTATTTCTATTTTAATAACTTTTTCAGAGTGTGACTTACCAAGTGGTAGGGTATTGAATCAGGCCTTCTGAATTGGTCATTTGTCAGTGGCAAAGGGACAGGGTGGGGAATCTTGCACTGCCAAGATTCCTACTGTCCCTGTCCCATGAGAAATAGTCCCATTTCTCAGAACTGTCAGTCTGACATCAGACCAGCCATACTGGATCAAACCAAAGGTCCATCTAGCCAAGTATCCTGTCGGCCGACAGTGACCAATGCCAGGTGCCTCAGAGGGAAGGAACAAAACATGCAATCATCCCCAGTGGTGCTCATCAACTCCATCCTGAGCAATTATTTTGTACCGATTCCTACTGTCTTATTTGTTGGGTATCCTCCTTAATCCCTACAGAGAGACATGCATCTAGACACTCAGAATTCTACTGATAGCCCAGAATCAGGGGAGGAGGAAGTTGCTAAGCAAGTATCCAAGCGAGTCACCATCTCTGACATAGTGGGTCCTATTGAAGAGTGTGGCAGCAGCAAGAGGGGGCTGGCAGTTGCCACACGCAGCTCTATAAAAGAAACCAAAAGAGATCCTAGCATGCAGTCAGAGAAAAAACAAAGAAAAAATCACCAGGAAATAAAGAAAAGCAAGAGCACAGAGAAGAAGAAATCCAGGTATGTGTAGTTAAGGATATATTTATGTTGAGCTTTGTCTACACTACCAAGTTTTGTCATCAAACACTGCCTTTTGATTACTAATCAGTGAGAACATTCACACTGTAATGAAACTTTGGCCAGGAAAAACACCCAGTTTTGGCAACAAAAATCTTCCAGCCCTGTATAAGACTTCTTTTCGCCTCCCTTTATTATCGACTAAGAGCCAGTGTTGGTTCTGCTGTTAGTTTTGTCCACAGAACTGGCTTCAGACAGTATCCCACACTGCTTATAGCTGTGCTCAGAGTTTTGATCTCTGCTGCCCTGCAGATATGCAACCCTCCTCTTTCAAAGTTCTGGGAATATTTGACAGCTAAATGAGCTCTTCCATTTGGGAAATAAACAAAGAACAAATAATTGGAATGCTCCTGTTCTTCCCTGCACTAGGAACACAATGGCAGACTTCTGCTGCAGGGGGAAGGCAACAGACACTGTGCTGCTTTGACATTCCTCAACAGGGAGAGTTCACAGAGCTACTCATGGTGCTGCTCCCAGCATCAGAGAATGCTGAGGGAGAACATGGAGGAAATCCCAAGATTCACAGGGATCAGCTCCATCTTCCCTGTGGATACATACCCATCCCACAATGCATTGCTCACACTGTTGATTATGGTGCCCCCAGTGTAGACCTGAGCTGTCTACAGAGGGAGAAAGTATGAACAACCTCTGGCAAGGCAGCAGTGTGGGTTGGCAGCAGTCCCTGCCCATAGGCAGTCCAAGCTCCTCGTGGGCAGAGGCTGCTCCATAGGGTGTGGAGCAGAAGCAGCCTCTGCTCATAGTGGCCCCAAGCTCTGATGGAGGCAGTAGCGCGGGGGGAAGGAAAGGTGGCACTGTGGAGCTGGTGCTGGGGAGAACAGGCTTTTAAGCTGGCTCTCCCCAGCACCAGCTCCTGCCTGTCCTCTCCCCACTCCCCCCACCACTGCCTATGTAAGAGGCAGCAAGGGGGAGACAGACAGGTCCGCAGAGATGATAAATGCGGGGAGCTGGCTTGAAAGCTGCTCCCCATGCATATCTGCTCCAGCCTGCTCCCCTTACCTCTGCACTGCTGTGTCTCTATTAGAGGCAGCAGCACGGGAAGGGGAGGCAAGGTGGCTCCAGTGTTCAGGGGGAGCCTGCTTAAAGCCAGCTCCTCGTGGGCAACAGTTCCCCCTGCCCCCCACCACTGCATGTTGACATCCCTAATGGAAATCCCATCCCTATATCCATAATTGGGACCTAAATGAAAGTGACTTGACTGTCAGCGCTATTGAGAACCCACTGCTTACCTGAGCTGCTGAAAGAGCTACAACATGTCAGAAAATGCTCAACATGTCAGAAAATCAGGCCGCTTTGATTTAGGTGATTAACTTTATGAACCCATTTTTGACCATAGTATTTGCCATATTAGATCAAACTAGGGATCCGGTTGGTCTAGTAGCTTGTGCCCTGAAATACATACTTGCATATGGAGTTCAGTATCCTGGCTCCTTCTGCTCTGGCTTGCACTGCTGGTCTAACTAGTTTCCTGCCTCTAGACGCGCCCATTGACTCAGAGCAAGACAAACTCTCATGAACTCATACTGCACCTATTTCTCAGCCTATACCCCACAAGTGGCATTACATCCAGAAGTGTGAAATCTGCTTACCCTTCTCTTTACCTAAATATGACAGTCACAAGTGTTGGGAGCAGTTTACAAAGGAACACAAATAAAAATTATGTACCCAGCTCCCATTGACTTCATATCTGTGCTTCATAAAATTTTCCCTACTATTAACTGTAAAATTATCCAAATACAGATACAATTTACCTAAAGAAGAGTGGCAATCTGAATGCTGTAGCAGACTCTTATTTGTGGAGAATATAGCCTTTTCTAATTACGCATGTAAAGTCATTAACATACACCATATCTTCAGAACATTAAGGTCCCATCACCTGGGGTCAGAGTGCCCAGGCACAACCTAATGTCTCGAGCTGGCTAGCAGCTGCTGGAGGAGGAGAGGGATTTGAGACGGGATACCACAGCCTGTCACTTTCCCCATGGCCATCTACGGGGCACTTTGGGGCAGAGAGCGCGCATGCGCGTGCGGCGGAAGCAGCTGGGGCCAGACCAAAGACTCCAGCCCGAGCCATTTTTTTGCCCCGAGGCCCACCCAGCCAGGCAGCACTGCATAGCGCCCTTTCTGTGGCTGGGGGTGCCCTTGCCTGGCCCGGCAGCACCACGTGGCGCCTCTTCTGCACCCGGAGCCCCAGCCCCTCCCATCCCAGCAGCACCGCATGATGCCCCTTCTGAGCCTGGGGCTGGGGTTCCAGCCCCAGCCTCGGCCCTGGCCTGGCAGCACCGCACGTGCCCCTTCTGCCCCTGGGGCCACAGCCCCAAGCCCAGCCCTGGCCCCGTCCTCAGCCTCGGCCCCGTCCCCAGCCCAGCAGCAACACGCAGCGCCCTTTCTGCCCCTGGGGCTGCGGCCCCGGCCCCGCCCATCCCAGCAGCACCGTGCAGAGCCCCTTCTGCACCCGGGGCCTCGTCCTTGGCCCTGCCCGGCCCGGCAGCACCGCGTGGTGCCCCATAAAGTGAGGCATCCCAGGCTAGGCCCGGCCGGCCTGTAGCTTGGGCTGGCTCTGACTCCAGCCCGCAAACTGGAAGGAAGAAGCTGGCTTAGCCTAAGTTAAGGGAAAGGGAAAAGGAGAGAAGGAAAATAGACAGGGGTGGGAGAGGAAGAGGCCTGTGCTGAGAGGAGGGGGGCAGGTCAGGAGAAGAAAAGGGAAAGCACCAAGGAACAGGGTGGAGGAGAGACAAATGCCAGAGGGCCAGTGGAGACAATGAGGAAAAGGGCAGGTGGGAAGGTGTCAGTGGGAGGGGGGACAGGGTGATGCTGGGAGAGGAGAGGGGAAGGGCATTGGGGGGGGAGGTGCTGGGAGAAGGCTTGAAAGAAGGGGTGGGCATGAAGAAGGCAGGGATGGATCAAGACGTGAGGGCACAGGGGCATGAGGGGAACGGGGGAAGGGGATGGGCATCAGGGAAAAAAGGGCAAAGGGGGCAGGGGCAGTGAGGGAAGGGGGAGCACCAGGAGGGTGAAGGGCTAAGGGAAGTTGCAGGTGCCAGAGGATTCTGGGGGTGAAGCAGAAGGGCAGACGCCTGCAGGGGAGGGACCAGCACCAGAAGAGAGAGGCAGGGCAGGTGTGTAGAGGGAGGTGTTAGACGAAGGGATGAGGAGGGGTAGCTCACTTGATCAGAGTGGGGCTACTGGAGGAGTGGGCAAAGGGGGGGGAGAAGGAATGGGGGGGGGGGGAGGGATGAGGAGGGGTAGCTCACTTGATCAGAGTGGGGCTACTGGAGGAGTGGGCAAAGGGGGGAGAGAAGGAATGGTGGAGGGGGGCAGGTCTCAGGAAGGCTGAGGACAGTGAGGAGGGCAGGAGTCAGGAGAGCAGAGGAGGGTGAGGGGTTGGAGGGCAGCAGGCACTAGGGGAGCTGATGGAGCAAGGAGAGATTTGGCAGCAGAAGGAAAAGGTAGCAGTTTATAAGATATTTATTAATAACAGTGGCACATCCAAACAAGCCATATGAACTCAGTACTGGTGCACAACACAAAATTCATTCTGCTCATGAGAGGAAACTCTTAGAGGGAACACTTCCCCCAGCCTCTCTGCCCCTGAGTTAATGTCACACACATTGAGTTAATGCAACTGCAGGATAGTTGCATAAGGGGGGTTTGGTGGGGGCCAAACTAATTCCTATTGGTAGGAGGATAGTGGGAAAAGTCCTTAGAAGGGGGTCACATGACACCTTTTACTTCTGGTCATGTGTCCATCTTGCCCCAAGAGTGTTACCTCTAGAGGTGTGGCCAATGGGAGTCGGGGTGTGGCCAATGGGGTTCAGCGGCATGGTTAACAGGGGTCAGGGACATGGCTAATGTGGGTCAAAGTAAATTTTAAAAAAATTCTTCAGGTGCACACCCTAATGAAATGTGCTGTGCATGCCTATGATCACTCTATCTCAACAGTGGGCAACTTGCAGCCCATTGGGATTCTGTGTGTGGCCTACAAGACATTTTGTTCACTGTAGTGCATTTTGTTCACTGTTTGTCAAAGGCTGGAGAGGGATGGCAGGAGACAAATCGCTTGATCACTGTCTTCGGTCCACCCTCTCTAAGGCACCTGGTGCTGGCCACTGTCAGCAGACAGGCTACTGGGCTAGATGGAGCTTTGGTCTGACCCAGTACGGCCATTCTTATGTTCTTATTGTAATGCTTAATTAGACACTTCCTACAGTGATGGAAAGGAGTTTTCTATTGCTATAGTAAATCCACTCCCTCAAGAGGCAGTAGCTAGGTTGGATGAAGAATTCTTCCCTTTACCTAGCAATGTCCATAAAAGGGCTTAGGACTTAACTACATCTCACAGGAGTATGGTATTTTTCACAATCCTTAGTGACATAGATAGGCTGACCTAAGTTTTAGGTGTAGACCATACATAGGATTCTAACAAATTCATGGCCAAGAAAAATCTGGTTTCCCGCCATCGGGGGGGTGTGTGTGTGTGTGTGTGTGTGTGTGTGTATTTTTACCTTTTACCATATAGATTTCATGGAGGAAACTAGTCTTTCTCAAATTGGGAGTTTTGGCCAAAAGGCAGTTGCAGGGAGGTTACAAAGTTGGAATTGTGGTATTGCCCCCTATACTTCTGAGCTGCCTCTAGTGCTGGGTTGCTGGGGAGCAGTGTTCTTTGTAAGCTGAGTACTTGTGTGACTGCTCAGGAAAGATTCAAATGCCACCCAGCTGATTAGCAGAGCACCCACAGTTGGGTTTTTTTAATGCACATTTACACAATACCTTGATGCACGTACAAATGTATTCCACATACGAAGGGAAAAAATCCACTAATGAGTGGAAAAGATCAGAGGGAGCATTGCAGAGAGTGGCAACTGTTGGCCAGGTGCCCAGTTCTGCAAGAACAAGGAATCTGGTGGCACATTAAAGACTAACAACTGTGTTAGTCTTTAAGGTGCCTCCGGACTCCTTGTTCTTGCTGAAACAGACTAACATGGTGACCTCTCTGAAATCAGCTCTGAAAGAAGCCCCCCACCAGTAGCAGTACGTAAGTAAGGGTGGTAATACTGTACTATGCCACCCTAACTTCTGTGCTGCTGCCTTCAAAACTGGGTGACTCGAGGGTGGTGGCTGCTGACTGAGGGCCCAAGTTCTACAGGCAGCAGCTCAGAAGCAAGTGTGGCAATATCCTACAATGCCATCCTTAATTCTATGCTGGTGGTGGTGGTGCTTCAGAGCTGGAATCCTGGCCGATAGCTGCCACTCTGGCTGGTAGCTACCAAACTCTGAGGGCAGCACCATCACAAGGAGGAGCAGAACCAGTCTCCACCCCCATAATAACCTTGTGTGCACACACACTCTTAACTCCTTTTTGAGTCATGCAATTTCAATTGCAACACCATGAAATTTCACATTTAAATAGTTGAAATGACATTATTTTAAAAATCCTGTGAAAGTGAACTTGAACAAAATGGACTGTGAATTTTGTAGGGATCTAACTATAAAACCAGGCCTTAATCCCAAGAACGAAGAATAATTATTAGCATGGTATACAGAAAAATGAGTAATGGGATGAAATTAATAAAGGGAATATTTAAGATCTGTAAGATATTCAATGAGATCTGTTAAGTTCTGAAACAGACTCCTGAAGAGAGTTGCATGTGCCTCATTAATTAGGAGTTTTAAAACAAGACTGGGGAAAAAATAAAGATGAAGTGGATGACCTACCCGATGTTTTCTAAATGTATATTCTATAAATGTATTATACACAAGAGAATCCCATTTACGCTACTATAGCTAATTCTGTACGGCTAACAGAGGTAAAAACTTGTTTTTGTCAATAAAACTAGCACATCTAATTCAGAGAGGTAACCGTGTTAGTTTGTAACTGAAAATAAATTAATAAATAAGGAACAGTCTTGCAGCACTTAAGAGACATAGTCAAATTTGTAGATGGTATAATGAGCTTTTGTGGGCACAACCACTTCTTCAGATAAATGGAGTTAAGGAGTTCAGGTTCCAAAGAAATAGAGAAAGAAAGGAGATGGGGAGTGTGAGAAGGAAAAAGAAGGGGAAAAGGGGGGCGGGGAGGATTGTCAGTTATTGTGTCCTTGCTAAATGAAGTGCTCTTAAGTACCAGGTGCTTGGTTGTTTATGTCTTTAGGATGTGGAATGTAGCAGGCCATCCACGCAAGGTCTTTGTTTAGACCTCTGTTGCAAGTATCAAACTTGTAAATGAAATTAAATTTGTTATTTTTAAAAGGTTTTTTTAGCACATCTGAGTCAGTTACCCAGGGAGCAGATACAGGTAGTCCCCGACTTACGCGGATCCGACTAATGTCGGTTCCGCACATACGAACGGGGCTTTCTCACCCCGGAGCTCACAGGCAGGGGTCAGCCACCTCGACCTCCGGGGCGAGAAAAGCTGCTCCCGGTGCCCCTGGTCTGCTGGGGACCATCTCCAGCAAACCAGGGGCACCGGGAGCAAAGCGGTCCCGCGCCAGAGCAAAGCCTCAGAGGCGAGGCACCCCCCGCTGCTGCTTTGCTCCCTGTGTCTCTGGTCTGCTGGGGGGGGGGCGCAGCTAGTGTGCCCCCCCCAGCAGACCAGGCTTTTGTTGTGGACCCTGGGGCAGAGCAGCTGGGGCGCTGCCCGTTGGTCCCGCAGCGCCGCTCTGGGCACTACTGGACCAACCGGGCAGCACCCCAGCTGCTCTGCCCCAGATCCTGATTCAGCCGCTGCTGGTCAGTTTCAGGCGCGGCCGCAAG